TACAGAGTGAGCCACCGAGCCCGGCTAACATTCACCTTCTAAGAATTATTTTTTTATTTTTATTATTATTTTTTTGAGTTGGAGTCTCACTCTGTCGCCCAGACTGGAGTGCACTGGCCGCTCCCGGCCACCGCAGCCTCGACCTGCTGGGATCCGGCGATCCTTCTGCCTCAGCCTTCCAAGTAGCTGGAACTATAGACGCATGCTACCACGCCCGGCTAATTTTTGATTTATTGTAGAGATGAGGTCTCGCCAAGTTGCCCAGGCAGGTCTCGAACCTGCAGGCTTAGGCAATCCACTCACCTCGGCCTCCCAAAGTGCTGGGATTACAGAGTGAGCCACCGAGCCCGGCTAACATTCACCTTCTAAGAATTATTTTTTTATTTTTATTATTATTTTTTTGAGTTGGAGTCTCACTCTGTCGCCCAGACTGGAGTGCACTGGCCGCTCCCGGCCACCGCAGCCTCGACCTGCTGGGATCCGGCGATCCTTCTGCCTCAGCCTTCCAAGTAGCTGGAACTATAGACGCATGCTACCACGCCCGGCTAATTTTTGATTTATTGTAGAGATGAGGTCTCGCCAAGTTGCCCAGGCAGGTCTCGAACCTGCAGGCTTAGGCAATCCACTCACCTCGGCCTCCCAAAGTGCTGGGATTACAGAGTGAGCCACCGAGCCTGGCTGGTGAAAGATCTTTACAATGAGAACTGCAAAACACTGCTTAAAGAAATCAAAGATAGCACAGACAAATGAAAATATTCTATGCTCATGGATTGGAAAAATCAATATTGTTAGGATGTCCATATTATGCAAAGTAATCTACACATTCAACACATTCCTTATCAAGCTACCAGCAACATTTTTCACAGACCTAAAAAAGACAATACTTACATTCATATGGAAGCAAAAAAAGAGCCTGGATAGCCAAAGCAATCCTCAGCAAAAAGAATAAAGCTAGTGACATCACTTTCCTAGACTTTAAATTTTACTACAAGTTTGAAGTCTACAGTCACCAAAACAGCATCATACAGGTACAAAAATAGACACACAGAAATGGAGCAGGATAGAAAACCCAGAAATAAAACCACTGCCCTACAATCAACTCATCTTTTTTTTTTTTTTTTTTTTGAGTTGGAGTCTCACTCTGCCGCCCAGACTAGAGTACAGTGGCCGCTCCTGGCCACCACAACCTTGACCTGCTGGGTTCCAGTGGTCCTTCTGCCTCAGCCTTCCAAGTAGCTGGAACTAACCAGGCGCGTGCTACCATGCCCAGCTAATTTTTTGATTTATTGTAGAGATGAGGTCTTGCCCAGTTACCCAGGTGGGTCTCGAACCTGCGGGCTCACCTCAGCCTCGCAAGGCGCGGGATTACAGGCTGAGCTACCGAGCCTGGCTATCAACTCATCTTTGCAAAACACTGGGGAAAGGACACTCTATTCAACAAATGGCACTGGGCAAACTGGCTAACCATATTGCAGATGAATGAAAATAGACCCCTATCTATCACCATATGCAAAAATGAACTCAAAACAGATCAAGGACTTAAATGCAAGACTTCAAACTATAAAATCTTAGAAGAAAACCTAGGGAACACTTTCCTGTACATTAGCCTAGGCAATGAATTGATGACCAATTCCTCAATAGCAAACACAGCTAAAGCTAAAATTGACAGGTAGAACTTTATCAAACTAAAAAGTTTCTGCACCACCAAATAAACCATCCAGAGAGTAAAGAGACAACCCATAGAATAGGAGAAAATATTTGTAAACTATGCATCTGACAAAGGCCTAGCATCCAGGATCTGTAAAAAACTCAAATGAAAACAAGTAACCCCATTAAACAAGTGGGCAAGGAACATGAACAGCTACCTCTCAAAGGAAGACATACAAGTGGCCAACAGATATATGAAAAAATGTCCAACATCATTTAGTCATCAGAGAAATGCAAATCAAAACCACAAGGAGATACCATCTCACCTCAGCCAGAGCTACTAAAAAGTCAAAACAACAACAACAACAACAGATGTTGGCAAGACTGTGGATAAAAGGGAATGCTTGTACACTGTCAGTGGGAATGTAATCCCTGCGGAAAGCAGTTTGGAGATTTTGTAAATAACTAAAAATAGATCTACCATTTGACCCAGAAATCCCACTTCTAGGTTTATACCCAAAGGAACATAAATCATCATTCTACAAAAACAAAACAAAAGAAAAAGAAAAACTCCACCTGCACTTGAATGTTTACTGCAGTACTATTCACAATAGCAAAAACATGGAACCAACCCAGATACCCATTGACAATGGACTGGATAAAGAAAATGTGGTACATATACGCTATGGAATACCATGCAGTCATAAAAAAGAACAAAATCATGACATTTGCAGCAACATGGATGCAGTTGGAGGACATCATTCTAAGGAATTATCATAGAACTGGGCTCGATGGCTCAGCCTGTAATCCCGCGCTTTGGGAGGTTGAGGTGAGTGGATTACCTGAGTGGATTGCCGCGGGTTCAAGACCCACCTGGGCAACTTGGTGAGACTTCATCTCTACAATAAATCAAAAAAATTAGCCGGGCGTGGTAGCGCGCGCCT